GTCACATTTTTGTCTCATACAGAATGTTCCTGCACGCTTCATTACGCTCCACTCGTTCACCTCGAATGTCCCGTTCTTTTTTCTTCAAAAAAACTACGGTGCCCACTCGCACTTCGAACTGTGCACGGCACTTTCAAGACCTGATTAGCCTAGCCTGCAAGATCTGCACTGGCAGGCGCGGGTGCCGACTGATCGAACTGCACTGCAGAGTCGAACCCGCAGGCCTCTGCTATGTCGCAAGCGGTGACTGGTGGTGAGCTGTCAATGGCCTTTTTCATTGGGGAACACAGACTTCCTTTTCACGATGGCTGACCATTTGAGTCAACTGTTCGGAAAGGTATGCCCAAATTCGGCTATAGCCCAGCGTATGAAAGCTACCCGCACAAAGACTAGTGCAGCAGTCGAGGTGATTGCCAACACCTACCACAGCCAGCTTGTTACTTGGATGAAGGAAAAGCCATTCTCCATTCTGGTTGACGAGTTTGCTGACATATCCGTGATGGAGCAAGTGGCATTCGCTGTCCGTATTTGCCGCAACGAGACGAAAACGTACCACTATGTAACCAAGATGGTCAGCGCCCCGAATGCCAACAACATCTTCAGTGCGCTAGCTGAGGCCTTTACGGAAGATGCCATACCGTGGGACAACGTGTTGTGCTTCTGCAGCGACAGGGCTAACGTCATGAGAGGCAGCAAAAACTCCGTCCTGACACGTGTCCTTGCTGAGCAGCCATCCGCATATGCAATGTACTGCCCATGCCATGTATTGGCGTTGTGTGCCAGTAATGCGGCGACATCTTATGATGAGGAGATGCAGCCACTGCTGGTGGACATAGCATATCATTTTGAGCATAGCCCCAAACGGTCTGCAGCATTGGAGGATGTGCAGAAGAACCTGGGCTTACCGCAACACAAGATGGTGAAGCCGGCAACGACTCGTTGGCTCGCTCTTGAGCAATCGATCAGCCGTGTTCTTGAGCAGTGGCGTGCCCTGAAGGAGTTCTTCTCCAAAGGGCCATCATCGTCCACCACGAAAGCGATGAGCATTCTCAAGGCCATTCAAGAACCGTCAACCAAGGCCCGGATGCTTTTCCTGAAGGCGGCACTGGCGGTGTTTACACGGCTGAATGAGAAGCTTCAGCAGGAAGGTCCAATGATCCAATGCTTACTTTCCCAGTCTGAGCAGGCGACAAAGACCATTCTCCTGAATGCACTGCGTCCCGAGGTTGTCTTAAGCCATACTGTGTCCTCGTCGAACCTGCTTCGACAAGAAAGCTACCTTCAACTGAGCAAGGTGTTCATCGGAACCGAAACCGAGCACTATGTCGAGCGTGTATTTCGCAACGCAGAAAACAAGCGCGCCTTCCTGCAGACCTGCCGTGACTTCTGGATTCAGGCTGCCAAGCAAGCGCAGTCCCGTTTTCCATTGAAGGACAAGGTTATTGAGGCTGCAAGCTTTCTCTGCCCTACTTCTGGCAACATGGTGGGTGGAGACAAGGTTGCGTATCTTGCCCGACGCTTCCCTCAAGTTATCCCAAGAGAGAGGTGCGACGAGCTGCGGCAACAGTGGCAGCAGTTCCAGGTGGATCCGGAAGTTCCTGCAGACGGGACAGATGTCACTCGGTTCTGGCTTGATGTTTCTTCACTGAAGACGTCCAGATCGTCTCGCTACAGCCTTGTTGTCCAGTTGCCGACTGCTCTGCTCGCCATTCCCCATTCTTCGGCTGCAATTAAGCACAACTTCCCGAGATGGGGGAGGCCAAGGCATTGAGCCCCAACAGCCTGAGTACGAAAATGCTGAGCAACCTCATGATCATCCAGTGCAACCGAGGTTTAGAGACATGCCTCAGCTTCATCGCAACAGCAGCCATGAGGAAAAGCCTGCCGCAAGCGGTTGCGCGATTTGCTGAATGAAGCTCTTAAGAGAGCATGTCTGAGAATACCAAAGTATGTGTGCAAGTGGATCTCTCCGATTTCGCTCAAAATTTGCAGGTAGGTTCCCTTTGGGGTGTGGATGGATTGTGCAAAGCCCTTGAAAAAGTTTCTGAAGGGAACCTTGAAATTTCCATACCCCTCAGAAATGGCCGAAATATCACATTATTTATGGGTCTAGAAACGAGTCACGCCACAACGTATACGAACGAGCTATGAACAAACCTACATCAAGCCAACATTGCCTCACCTTAGAAAAGTTCCTGGAGCAGTACCGCTAAGCCACGCCAGGATCCCAGAAGACGAGGTCCATCACCCCCTGACGCCACAAATGATCGTCTTGAAAATAGCCTCAGCAATTTCTACTCCAACACTACTCCCAAGGCCGCAGAACAAAGTGTATTGTTGGCTCTGACAAGGAAAAGCAGCGGTTGGAGTAGAAATTGCTGAGGAGACGTCGCGGAGGGGCGAGCTTTCCTGTGCAGGTATGACTTTGGCCGTATTTCAGCATGGTCGAGTGGAAAAATTCAAAAAAGTTTATTTCAAGAAAACCCCAAAAGGAAGATGGGGGACATGTCCTCAGCGCTAGAAGAGGTGTTCTACTATCTGCCGGTGTATAGTTCTGGCAAATTGAGGACGTAGCTGGCTGTTTTGCCAGCGCTTGTAAATTGGCTATTTTCAAGACGATCATCATTTGTGGCGTCAGGGGGTGCTGGACCTCGTCTTCTGGGATCCTGGCGTGGCTAAGCGGTACTGCTCCAGCAACTCTTCTAAGGTGAGGCAATGTTGGTGTGATGGAGTTTTGTTAATAGCTTGTTCGTATACGTTGTGGCGTGACTCGTTTCTAGACCCATAAATAATGTGATATTTTGGCCATTTCTGAGGGTATGCAAATTTCAAGGTTCCCTTCAGAAACTTTTTCAAGGGCTTTGCATAATCGATCCACACCTCAAAGGGAACCTACCTGCAAATTTTGAGCGAAATCGGAGAGATCCACTTGCACACATACTTTGGTATTCTCAGACATGCTCTCTTTTAAAAGTAGTTAATTGACATTAGCATTGGTAGCAACGATGAACTGATAGTGTGCTTCTCTTGCACGCATATCATTTTTTCTATTGTGTTTACAGGACGTATTCCGATAATATCCTCTGTAATAAGACATCGACTTACAACTGTGCAGTTCAAATGCTATGTTCTTCAGTGGCAACCACCTCCGTTTTTTCTACATGCACAATATGCCAATATTAAACGGTATAGCTGTAGTTGCTACAATTTCGTAGACTTCTTATTCAATATTGGTATACTGAAGTATGATGTATCTGCCTGGAATAGAATAAAGCAGCAGGTGTTACTGTAGAACGCTGCTACAATGCTACGATTGCTCCATAATTGACATGGTTGTAGTGCGTGTGCTGGACAGTTAAAAATGTGTTCTGGGGCCCCAACAGCAAGCCATTTCCCTAAAAATGTCCCCCGGACACCCCCGACACATTTTTCTCCCTCCAAGTGTGGCAGCCCTGGAACCGTGCTGTACGCAGGCCTGCAGTCTATGCCGGCGAACGTTTTTTTCTTCTTTTCGAGCCGTTCAGGGATTTCGAGAGAAATCCACGTATTCTTCATGTCTTTTCAAAGGTATAGAGATTTTGGTGGTTGGCCAATATGGATTTGTATTCGCTTTATTACTCCTTGTTCTTTGTGGTTTCTTTGTGTCTTTCCTGTTGTTGTTTCGTTTGACCTTTGTTTTCCATTCTCCTCCTGCGCCTTCGTCATTTCTTGTTATAATAATAAGAAAGGAGACACAATCAAGAGTTTGCGTTGCTGTGTGGCGGGGACCAGGGGGGAACAACACTATTTCCATCTCACTAAGACCCTATCCAAATAGCAAAGGGACGTCCGACTACAGCCGACAATCACAGGTCATCTGCAAAAAAGAAAGAGCATGAAGAACGAGCGCATTCAGATCCTACACAGAGAGGTTGCATCTAGCTGAGCCGTAACTAGCGAGAGTTTGGAAGAAAGGTAGATGATGTCCAGATGTCCAGAGTAGTAACTGGGCACCGTCAAGAGGTGAAACTCTAGTCTTTGGATGAAAAGGGTTACGTGCATGAGATACCCAGACGGCAGCGCACAGTAAATGGAGCAACACCTTATTCCTTCATGTTCAGAACTGCATTACAGTGGCTAATGTAAAATCATGTATCCCACTAAAACTTTCAAATGTTCTGAAGTTTTAGGAAGCGCAGAACGAAGATGATATGGCCTTTAGATTACTAATTGAAGCCATGAGGCATTCGCCCATTGCGAATAATTCTCTAAAACAATCACAGATTCTGTTCCAAAAGCATTGACACTTCCAGAACCTTCAAACCTTTCGGCACGCACTTCCTTCATATCTGCTCCATATCTTCATCAATATAACAAAAAGAGGGGGGTTGTCAACATAACAAAACACGAACCATAAAGAAGACTGAGGATTTTTGTACCTTTTCTAACGCCATGATCCGCCAAAGACTATGAATCCCTGGGGAAGTCCCAGTTTAGATATACCGTGTCATATTCAGTTCTCACGCAATTTGTAATAATTCAAGCCAGTATATTGTTCATGCTTCGGCGTCAAGTTATTTGTCTGCATTGTCCAACAATGCATAGTTAGAAATCATGTTTTCTTAGCTTTTCAACAAACCTCTTGCTTGACAATAGGACAAAAATAACGGAGACTATATTAACAGTGGTGTATGTGAACTGTGTGTCTGCAGTGTCAAACAATGCATCGTTAGAAATTTTGTTTTCTTAGCTTTGCAACAAACCTCTTGCTTGACGATAGAGGAAAAATGAGGGAGACTATATAAACCGCGGTGTATTTTAACTGTGCAACGTAACCCAGTTGCATAGGAATCATGTTGTGGTTAGGAGTCTAGATTATTTCTGAAAAAAGGTCATGATTCGGCCTTTTAGATTAGAACTACAATATCCTAGACTCGGTGTTTTGCGCACTACCCGGAACTAAGCAAGAACAACATTGTCTTTGTGCTTTGTCGTTTGTCTTTGTGCTTTGTCGTTTGTAGATTTTTGGACATTAATCAGATCCAGAATTTAAGTGACGGTGTGTTCTCTGGTCTACCAAACCTCCGAGAACTGTAAGTATTATCAACTGCGCCACTGAACGCAGAGAAAAGTAATTATAACTGTGTGTATATAGAGTACTGCTGGATACGTCATGAACAAACCTCTAATATCTTTCAGTAATATTATCTTCTGCACTGATTGAAGGAAACAGTTTTAGACACTTTGTGTGAAATGTTTTGTTATGGTGCATCTGATTCTCGTAAGTGTCAGGAACGAATGACCACACGTCACGAGGACAACTACTTTTTCTTAACGGTATATTTCACTTGATTGAACATAATAACTCAGTCTAAGACCACGAGATTATGCATAGCATGGATTTGACAGCATATACAGTAAATTGCACACAGCACATATAGCGTATACCATGCATGGTGCATCAGCGGTACGGCGGAGTCGAAATACGACATTCCTCGGGGAAATGTTGGAGCTAGGTGTCAGGTCTCCGAATGTCTCAGCACTCCTTGTCAGTTTTGTGCCATTTTGTCGCAATCGCTGACTGTATAAGATCTGGTTACGTTTGTGGACAGTTATTCAAAACTCGTAACATTTTTTCCTTCTTCTTTTTCACCATAATTTAATTGGCTCACCATCCGAGTTTAATTTGCACACCTGATAAGCCGCCATGACCTATACGGCCAAATGTACGTCGTTTGGAACTACTTTTCATTGTACATAACTAGTCCATCATACATGATAGTGGAGTTCAGTAGGATGCTGACGTTTCGGTTTGTCGCAATTTATCTTCGCTTAGCTTCCCCTTTCTACGTTTATTACATAAACTTGAGCCTCTCAAGTTGGGTGGTCTGTTGCTTTGCGTGGTCGAGTTGTAGTAAGGCCTGAATGTCCAACAGTCTTATTAGTTTTGTCGTCATCCAGTAACGTTCGGCATTCTTTGTTGCCGTGATGCGTAGCTCGTGCTCTTTGCGCTTTCCTTCCCCTCTTGGACTTATCCAAACCTGAGCCTTCCAAGTTGGAAGGTTGTTGGTTTGTGTCTTGGAGAAGTGTCTGAGCTAGGTGTCAGGTCTCCGAATGTCTCAGTACTCCTTTGTCCGTTTTGTACCATTTTGTCACACTCGCTGACCTTATAAGATCTGGTTACGTTGATGGACAGTTAGTCATAACTCGTAACAATTTTTCCTTCTCCTTTGCACCATAATTTAATTGCCTCACCATCCGAGTTGAGTTTTCCTTATTCTTTTCTTTTCTTGACGTGGTTGGCTATCACCTCTCTCTCGCACTTTGCGTGCCAATTAGTCATGGATCAGGAGTTGAGTGAAATAATTTAATAAAACGGTCCTCTTTTATTTTATTTTAAATAATCGACGTGGAAACAACAATTTTTCACTCACAAAGCGACTGTTCAGTACATGGGGTAGTGGTCTACCAGAGCAATCACACTCACCACCGTGGTGGTTTTCCAGAAATGAGTAGAAGCAAAAAAACCCACACTTGCAGCCACAGAATAGATAAATAGCCGAAAAACATCTAAATCCATCAAAGAACCTCCAGCAAGCGGGAGAAAAGGCCGTGAAATCAAGTGAAACAGCATGGCCAGTGGTGAGCATGGGTGACTGGGCAGCAGGGGAGCGCCTGAAAAACAATGACTCCCTACATTCCTAGCCGCGACCGCTCAACCGGGCTAGAGGAAAAACACGCCTTTCGGCCAAAAAACCTTTCTATTTTCATTAATTCCTGCCCCGCTGCCAGTCAGACCCAAGAATAGAGATAGCAAGGAATGGTATGTAATAACCGGTGTATGTCATAATCATAAGCCACACACATAGGCATAGATTGTCAAGAAGAACAGCGAACGACTCCCATGAAACCAGGGTGGGTGGGCGGGCAACTTCAACTACCACGAGGAAAAACAAAGACCACGATGGCAGGTTCAACGGAGTTGCGCAGAACAAGAGCAAATGCACGAAAATATTTGTGAGTGAAAAATACGTTTTTTGCACTCTTTCGCTACGCTCAGCCGTGAAAAAACAAAACTTTTCACTCACAAAGCGACTGTTCAGTACATGGGATAGTGGTCTACCAGAGCAATCACACTCACGATGTAAAGGATAGTGAGGCCGATAGGAGAGCAGCACACATAGATTTGGACAAGGAAAACGAGCAGTGTGGCGCATGGCGCCAGTGTGCCAGAGTCTTGGGCACTGTGACCACCATCTGTGGCCAAGTGTATAGTTACTATGAACATTATGGAGACCCGGCCAGACTTGCCCTGGGATGCTCACTAGTAGGCCAGGTTGGGTCCGGTGGCAACCGGGCGAGCACACATCAGCCAGGATAACATGATCAGCAGTGCACTCCGAGCAGACGAAATCTCTGCGAAATGCCCGAAAGTTCCCCTGCTAGGTTGCGAGTGCTACATCATGGAGTAGTACTGCCAGTAAATTCAATGTGAGGTGATGTACTTCCGTAATTGGGCTGGACGTCCGTTCAGTTCCTGCAAGAGAAGGAATCCTGTATCGAATGCACACGTCCGCCCCTCACACACTTACTGCACACCCATGCACCCTTACGCACATTCACTGTACCCACACACAAACTCACTGTACCCACACATACTGTACACACACACATACTGTACACACACGTACTGCCCGTGCACGTACACTCCTCCGCGTGCCCCGACAAAAAACGGGGTGAAAAGCCGGTACCGAGACATAAAAACCCACATACCTCTATGTAACTCTCACTCTCTCTCTCTCTCTCTCTCTCTCTC